TTTGATAAGATAATCTACGATCTTATCCTTTAAGATCTTAATAAGATTTAACGACTCTCCTTTCATTCACCCTTTTGTTTTGCTCTCATTCATCTATATAAGTGACTGAAAATATAAGTGGTTATACGCTTATTTTTCTTCCTGACTCTGCTGGTACTTGCTCTCTCGAAAGTGTTCGACAACTTTTTAGAGAGTGTACATGCAGGTCAAGGTCCATAGTTGGACACCTGAAAATATGAAATTTCTCTTCATTCTTCAACTTGGATAATGTGGATTGAAACTTGAAATTTCAGTGAATCTCGGATGAACATTACTTAAAAAACGTTATCGTTCTTGCTATTAAGATCCTAATATATTCTTATCCAACCTTGAAAAAGTCTTATACAGTACACTATTAGTAAGATCTTAGAAAAATCTTATCAAATCTTAGAATTTTCGGGTCTCACGATCTTAGTAAGATTTGTTTGTTAAGATCTTAGACAAATGTAAGCGAAATCTTACTAAGATCTTAACAAGATTTTTCTAAGATCTTAGTAAGATTTGAGTATGTTTTTCACTAGAGATAGAGCGGATATTTCGAAAATCTTGATATAGTGACTTAAGGTCAGTTTGAAACTAAAAATAAACAACACCACTCGACTCAGTGTGGCCGATTGCCCTATCTTGACTCATTCCAGAATCACCAAGGTCAACTGGTCGAAATTAGAGCTCTCAGGAAAATGCATATAGCTCCTGAATCGCACGAGATAGAAAGTTAAGACTAATCTAGAATTGTAATATATCAAAAAACGAGTCGAATGTTCGAATGAAAAGAAAACAGAACAGTCGAAACATATATCATTCGACTCGTTTTTTGACGCTGATTCTGAATATGATATTTTTATTGCATAAAAGTCGAATTCTGATTGAGAAAATGGAGAATTACGGGTAAAATTCCGACTCTTCAGCCTCTGGTATAGAAAAAATGGCTTTTTCGAGCAATAAAGTAAAATTTTGGAAAACTCGATGCGTACTTTTAAAGCGTGGCCTCTAGCGGTTCTAATGAAGTATGAAAGTCGGCTATATCTCTTGACAGAAAAAACTAGACAGGTTTGCAAAGTGCTCCTTCGCGATGCTGACCTCTCACCTTCAGGTTCAAAGAATTGTGGTCACATTATATTTGAATAGCATCAGAAATGAGTGTTCTAGACTCAGTTTTTCATGAGAAATCCGAAAACAATGGTTTTGAAATTTAAAATAGATGATAAAATTGAAATTTTGGCGATTTTCGAAAACTGAGCCTTTTTTGGAAGAAAAATAGAGTACCTGATAAAACTGAATTTTCCTGGTAAAAATCGTTCCAAACAATTAAAATGCACATATTCTTAACCAGCTCGTCGAGCTCTATCCAACAATGTATAAAAAGCGAAAAATAAATTCTGCTCAAACTTTGAATTGGGGGCACCTTACTAAGAATCTCTTCTAAAACATTTCCCTTGTACGTTTAGGGTACGGGTTCAATGGCTGATTTACTTTCAAAATTTCTTAAAAGTAATAACAAGAAGAAACAAGCAGGTAATTAATACAGAGACCAATCCATGTTTTTAATATCGATAAAATACCATGAGTATACCTTTCAGTATATTTGTACGGTACCAAAGAGTACCATTGGAATAATACTTATCCAATAATCAAAAAAAGATTAACGGTGATAGGTTTCCAACGTCTTTAATTTATTTGCAGACTTCCACAGTCGCTGACAGTTGTACGTATATTAAAACTTTCTGCTTTTGAATCGTATAATGTTTCTATTCATTGTAGACAAAGAAAATTATTGATTAAATTCAAATCGCAAATCAATGAAATAAAAGAATGTTTAATACAAATTTATCAGGACGAACGACTGGATAAATTTGGATTGTATAAACAATCGGAACGTGCTTTATTGAATCTTGATCAAAATTTGTATATACAAAAACTGATATTTATGTTTCTGTATTGTCTAGACTGGGATTCTCGACACAATATTCGAATATTTAATTTTAGCGACAGTAATAGCAGGTCATTGTATGATTCTATTTACGAATCATTTGTACAAGGTAACGGCTTGAAAGAAAGTTATACTTTAATAGAAGATATTTTTATTTTCAGCTCGAGAAAATTTGTCAAAGAAAACCGAAATTCCAATACGACCTGAGGATGAATTAAGTATAGCATTAAAATGGAGTCGAGCAGAAGGAGCTAAAGGACGACTCTATATGCTTGTTGGAAATACGATAGACGTAAATATTATCGATGTTTTGTATACACGTTCGTAAGAAGTTTTATTTATCATAGATACAAAAACGAAAAGAATTATTAATAGGAGCACTGCTGGAAACACAATCGGCATTTGTTGACAATTTTATGAAAAATTGGCTTAGATTTACCATCCATATTACTTAATGATTCATCAAATCAAACAGAAACTAAATATAAATGGAATGTACATGATGATTTATCCTTTTTAAATATGTACAAATGTGATTATTTGTCCGAACTTTATAATAATGATACCAAACAGAAAGTTAGTGTTTTTGGTCTATCTATCTCTGCAACTACTACTTTAATTAGATAAAGAAATTTTCGTTTTCTTTTTAGTTTGATCGCCTCTATTTTCTACACAATATGATTCCTTCGAAGAGAAAGAAAGAGAAAAAAGATGATGAAAAAAGATTGGTGATTATATGGATAGACTTTATGTCTCTGAAAAAATACTACCACTAGCAGCGTCGCCGCCGTCATGGACAACAAAAGTAGTGCCAAAACAAGAAGAGCAAGGCGAACAACAACAACAACAACAACAAGAGGAACAACAGCAGGAAGTTGACGAAATACCAATAAGCAACGATATTGTTACAGAATATGTTTATCGTGATCTATTTCTTTGGTCAATACTAACACATCGTATTGAAATGGCAAAATTATTTTTGAAATATATGCGTACACGTATTTGTGCATCATTGATTGCAGCAAGAATCATTCGAAAAGTATCGAGATTGGAGTATGATCAAGCTATACGAAGTGAATATGAAGACGAAGCAGAATATTTTGAATCATTTGCTATTGAATGCTTAAAATATTGTTATGCTGCTGATAAAGAATATGCATGTATACAAAACATCGATAATATTTCGAGAAATTTCATATCTTCAGGTGTCCAACTATGGACCTTGACCTGCATGTACACCCTCTAAAAAGTTGTCGAACACTTTCGAGAGAGCAAGTACCAGCAGAGTCAGGAAGAAAAATAAGCGTATAATCACTTATATAGATGAATGAGAGCAAAACAAAAGGGTGAATGAAAGGAGAGTCGCTAAATCTTATTAAG